AGCTGTGTTGTTTTCTATAAGCTGTCATCCTGTGGTACAGAGCAGGGTCATAATGTCTGGTCACTTGTTTGCTTAGTAAATGTTCAAAAATCTTGTCCACACATATAAGTGAAGTGATTGGACGATAGTTCGATTTGAAATACCTAGACTTAGTCATAACAGTACAAACGTGGTACTCTCAGAACACGCCGAAGCCACTTTGCGAAAACAGGACAGGAAAGGCACTCTGGGACATGCCACCATATGCAGAACACGCGGAGGTGAGAAACAACAGGACAGACTGTACGGTTATAGACAAGGAGAGGAAGAAAGTAGTGTTAGTTGAAATGAGCTGTCCATGGGTCAGTAATAGAGAGGTCAAATGTGCAGAGAAGACGAACAAGTACGCCCTGCTGCGGTACGAATTAAGTAGGAGATACCCAGGGTACAAGATTGAGCAGCATAACAACATAATAGACGCACTTGGAGGGAGCTCTCGAAGGGTCAAGGAAAGCATACGCCAACTTGTTGGAATTGGCTGATGTCATTCAGTGCGCAGGAACATGCAGAAAGCTGCAGTCTCTAACTCCCTTAACATTACCAGGACTTTCAAGGTCCTATCAGACTAAGTTCTTCCAACGACGTTACTTTTAAGTATAGGTTTTAAACATTTATCTCCATTTTAGGGTCTATGAGTATACCATTTTAGAACTTTTAGGTTTATTTGTGTCTGGATTTTTAAGATCCTATCGGACTAAGTTCCTTAAAACGACGCTAGGTCCAAGCATAGTTTTAATAGGTTGATGGAAAGTTTATTTCCTTTTAGGGTCTAGGGGCACACAATCTTTTTAAAGTTTAGCATTTATCTATGTAGTAGTGACAATTGAATAGGCTACGCCTTTGGCGCCCTATATCAATTTTATTTGTAAGCTGAAGCATTCAGAAGTGTAGACTGCGATATAATAATAATAATAATAATAACAATAATAATAATGATAATAATAATAATGATAATAATGAGAAGGATATAATAACAATAAAAATGGTAGAAGAGATAATAATAATAATATAAAATGTAGAAATGAGAAAGAAAGAAAACAGTGAAAGAGTGAATTTTTGAGGCTTTTACTTCTTACATTTGTTTATTATCAAATATTGAAATACTTAATAATATTTATCAGTAATAACGTATAGTGGTCTTTATGTCTTAATTTTTTAGATATGAATGCTGTGGGGCAAAACGGACCCGCGGAGGGAGTATTTCATGTCAGTGTGGGAAGATATACCTTGACCTTTGATGACGCCCGACGTCTCTGTGCACTACTCGGGGCATCCATAGCTACACACGACCAGTTATATACTGCCTGGGATGCTGGCTTTCAAAAATGCGCGAAAGTACTTTATTCCTCCGTGTTTGTTACATGGCGTTTCCGTCATACCTTTGCATTTATGTGTCTTGATTCGTCAAGGAAAGAAATTTCGCA